ATTTATTTATTTATTTATTTATTTATTCATTCATTCATTCATTCATTCATTCATTCATTCATTCATTTATTCATTTATTCATTCATTTATGACAATGTAACCTCTCAGGCTAAAGCACAGTTTAACATTTGTACTTGTCTGATTTGTGCTTTAGAAACTGACCAACATGCGAATAATGAAGGAGAACATGAGGACTGGAAACCTCCCTGCCAACATGAAGAAGAACAGAGTTCTGCAAATTATTCCATGTGAGAAGGAGCAAAAAAAAAATAAAATAAAAACCAAAACAACAAAAAAAGTTAAATCAAATAGATTATTTGCTTGTTTATTAATTCATGGAAAATGTTAAATAGTGTCACGAGAAGAAACTGCTCAGAAACCAATGTGTATTTTTTTTTACCTGTAATCTGTAATCTACATGTTTTGATTTTTTTCAGATGACTTCAACAGAGTAATTCTTTCCATGAGAAGAGGGCAAGAGTTCACAGATTACATTAATGCATCGTTTATTGACGTAAGAACAAGAATAACTTCCTGTTATTAATAGTTCCCCTGCTTGTGTGTAAAAATGAACAAAATGAATGTTTTGCTGAAACTTAGGGATACAGACAGAAAGACTACTACATCGCCACACAGGGCCCTCTGTCTCACACAGTGGTGGATTTCTGGAGGATGGTTTGGGAATGGAAATGTCACTCGATTGTAATGCTCACTGAGCTCCAGGAGAGGGAGCAGGTGAGCTACAATAAAAAAAATGACTTCACTACAAATATAGTATGTGACATGACATCTGCTCTCTAATTAGCAGTTTTAAGCAACATTTTCTGTTGTTGTAGGACAAATGTTACCAGTACTGGCCCACAGAGGACTCGGCCACATACGGAGACTACACTGTAGAACTGAAGGGAGACTCGTTGTGTGAAACCTTCAGTCTAAGAGACCTGGTACTCACCTATGTTCCGGTAAGCAAATGAACTTAGCACTATCAGACAGGCAAATGTTTCTGACTGTATTATTATTCAGTWGCAGCTGTCATGATAAAATGACATTTAATGGGTCTCCTAATGTAATTTGCTTTGATCTTTCCTTCACCATCTTAATATGAACTGAAGATATATTATGTTTGTTATGAAATTATCAAGTGGACAGTTTGGGTAATTTACTTCATTTTTACAAAGGGGAAAAAAATCATACTAAAATTGTTCATTAGGAATTAAAATAAAAGGAATTATTTGAAGGATAGCATATTGCATGTCACCCTTCATGTCAAAGACCAAGATCCTTTTGCACTGAAAACAGTATCTGTGAAACTGGGTTGCATCCATTTTTGAGTTCTATTGGCTGTGGCAGCCATCTTGAATTGGATTGACTTCAAGCAATCCGTTGTGGACGTACATCCAATGTTTACTGTCTGCACGTTTCATTACAATCTGTCCATTGTTTTATGAGATTCTGGTAGCCGACACAGGCAAGGCAAAACCATCACCCCAATAATCGCCAATAACTAGACTCAAATCAGGAGCTTTTTTCCTCCACCATCCAGAGTTAGTACATTCAATTCAAAGTTTCAAAATCAGACGTTTATAAGGATTTTAAGCAGTTGCCTCAAAGCACATGTTACGTCCACATCTATTTGGACAGATAGCATTTTCCTAAATTTGGTTCTGTCCATTACCACAATGAATTTTGAACAAAACATTTCAGATGCAGTTGAAGTTCAGATTCTTAGCTTTAGCTCAGTGGGTTGAACAAAATTATTGCATAGAAATGTGAGGAACTAAAGCATTTCTTAAAAAGACAATCCCTTCTTTTCAGGGACTCAAAAGTATTTGGACAAATTAAATAATTGTAAAAAAAATGTTCACTTCTAATAGTTGGTTTAAAACCCTTTGTTGGCAGTGACTGCCTGAAGTCTCATGGACGTCACAAACACACATGCTGTGTTTCCTCCTTTAATGCTCAGCTAGGAATTATTGCAGCAGTTTTCAGTTGCTGTTTGTTTGTGGGCCTTTCTGTCTGAAGTTTAGTCTTTGACAAGTCAAATGCTCAGTTGGGTTGAGATCAGGTGAGTGACTTGGCCATTCAAGAATACTTCTTTGCTTTAATAAACTCCTGGGTTGCTTTGGCTTTATGTTTTGTCTCATTGTCCATCTGTAGTATGAAACGACGACCAATCAGTTTGGCTGGATCTGAGCACACAGTATGGCTCTGAATACCTCAGAATTCATCTGGCTGCTTCTGTCCTGTGCCACATAATCAATAAACACAAGTGATACTTTCTTCTTTCCACCATTCTGGTGGAGGTTGATCTTGGTCTCATCTGTCYRAAGAATGTTCTTCCAGAACTGTGCTGACTTTTTTTAGATGTTTTTTTAGCAAAGTCCARTCTAGCCTTTTTATTCTTGAGACCTATGAGTGGTTTACAGTGTGCACTGAACCCTTTATATTTACTTTCATTCAGTCTTCTCTTTAAGGTAGAATTGGATTGATGTCCCTACCTCCTGAAGAGTGTTGGTCACTTGGTTGGCTGTTGTGAAAGRGTTTTTCTTCACCATGGAAATTATTCTGTGATCATCCACCACGAGTTCACCAGTGCTTTCTTTCTTTGTCACTACCAATATTGCAGCAACTTCTTGGATGTTTTTTTTCTCCTCATTTTCACAGCTTACTGATGGCTTGTTTTAACTGCATGGAGAGCACATGTTTACTTCACAGCAAAATCCTCCAAATGCAAGCTCCACACTTCAAATCAACTCCAGGCCTTTTATCTGCTTAATTGAGAATGACATAACGAAGGAATTGCCCATGAAATAGCCTTTGAGTCAGTTGTCTAATTACTTTTGGTCCCTTTAAAAGCAGGGTGGCACACATTAAGAAGCTGAACTCCTGAACCCTTCATCAAGTTTTAATGTGGATACCCTGAAATGAAAGATGAGTCTGAACTTTATGTCCAAATCCATTCAATATAACTATAACTTGAATATGTTTCAGTGAACAGGTAAAAACAAACTTTGTGTCAGTGTCTAAATAGATATAGACACAACTGTACATGTATCTTGCCTATAAGAGTAAATGCAGTGAACATGTCAATTCAGAGCCTCCCATCTATTATATTTCATTAAATTCGACCCACATCATTTTTCAGGGGCTTGGTTGTACATTCCTGTCCGCAGACGTCACATCTATCATTATCTTTCATAAACTGCTAATGAATCAATCTCTCACCAGCCTCTGTATTTCTTCTCGCAGGAGAAGCAGACGAGGGCGATCAGGCACTTCCACTTCCACGGCTGGCCAGAGATTGGCATCCCGGCGGAGGGGAAAGGCATGATCGACATCATCGCCTCAGTGCAGAGACAGCAGCAGCAGTCTGGGAACCATCCCATAGTCGTACACTGCAGGTAGGCATCCCATTKCTGTTAAAGCCTAGAACCAACTCTGCATTTGCACAAACAGATTAATGGCCTTTGTGTGTCGCTGCAGCGCTGGTGCAGGGCGAACAGGTACATTCATTGCACTGAGCAATATCTTGGAGCGCGTCAAGGCAGAAGGCCTGCTAGACGTGTTCCAGACTGTGAAGAGTTTACGTATGCAGAGGCCTCATATGGTCCAAACRGTTGTAAGTACCAACCATCATTCCTGGATCTCTGCCGCAGTTTTGTTGTACAGCTTTTAATATAATCTGTCTCTTGTTTCACCACAGGAACAATACGACTTCTGCTACAGGGTGGTACAAGACTTTGTCGACATTTTCTCAGACTATGCCAATTTTAAATGAGATTTGCCTTAAACATGGTTTTTAATGTTTTCTAAAGCAACTTTGTGAGTTTTATCTTCTATTTTGCTATGCACTTGTCCTTACCATTAACTCGAGCTCTTTTCTTGCTGTAAAATATGGTTCGTCAGCAGAGGAAACCTGTACATGGGGAAAAAATAGGTTGGTTAATATTGTATATTTCATAACATGTATGATAATTTGTCATTAAGTGTAGCTAAAAAAAAGCTGGTCTCTGATTTCAGTTTTGTATATTATTTTATAACATTGTTTAAATGATTTATTTTATTTTTTGAACTCATGACATTTTTACGAGCTGTAGTTACTGTAAATGTATTTATGTGTTGACAATATGTTTAATTATAAGATTTTTTATGAAGGTAACATTATATTTCATTACTGACTTCTGAGATGAGAAACAAACCATTCTGTGAAGATACAACCCAGGTGAAAAAATATTATACTAAGTATACTAAATCTAAGTATACTTTAGTATACTTCAAGCCACACTAATCATCAGTATATTTAAAGTGTGCTATTTTGGAACAACTAATTTAATACTAAATATACTTTAGTTGTATTTAAGTTGTACAAAATCACAATTTTAAGTGTATTAAGTATACTTTTAAATACTAAAATGGAACAACTTCAAATACACTTAGTACACTTCAAGTGTATATCTTTGTCTATGTGTACTAAGTATATTTTAAGTTGTTCCATTTTAGTGTTTAAAAGTATACTTAATACACTTAAAATTGTGATTTTGTACAACTTAAATACAATTAAAGTATATTTAGTGTTAAATTAGTTGTTCCAAAATAGCASTCTTTAAATATACTGATGATTAGTGCGGCTTCAAGTATTCTACAGTATACTTGGATTTAGTATACTTAGTATAATATTTTTTCACCTGGRAAGCCCTTCAAAAGTATAAAGATGTCTTAATTTTGCGAAGAAAAATCTTTTGCCACGATGTAGAAAACATTATAGTTAGATTTTTTTTGTGTAAAGGTTGAGGATAGCTCCTTTAGTCTCAGTTTGAAGGACTGGATTGGGAACCTAAAAGCCAATCCAAGCAAGACCAAAGTAGAACTGTTCGTTTCCACAAATAACCATCAAAGTCTGTTTAATTTACCGTGCAACGTAAACACGGATGTTTAAAAAATTGTTTGCATAAACCGTGCCCAGGTGTTTGCGACTGTCCTTATTTTAACTCTCCTGGATTAAAACAACCGCACCCTCCTGCCGGGTTAACCAGGAGGTTTAACACAACAACAGTTCATTTCGGTCTTGGCTTTTCGTCTGACTACCTGTTATCCATCTGGTTAAAAAAAAAATAAACCGTTTCTTCAAAATGAGTTCCCCAGCACTAATACCAAAAGGTAAGATTTTCAACTATCCTTTTCAAAGGTTCCGACTGATGCATCCTCAACAAGAAAAATCTGTTACTGCAGTCTGCCTTTTGTCGGTGAAAATGTTTACGGACCCTAGTTAAGCTTTCTGCCAGGAGCTTGTATCTCCGAACAAATTGTTGTATTGCAGACTGAGTATTCCCAAACAAGTGCCATATGATCTCTTTAAAAGTTAGGCAAGTTGGTGTTAAACGTGGCTGCTAAATTTTGTTTTTATGAGACACCGTCGAAGCACAGGACATGAATAAATGCAAGTCCCAAGTTACAAAACAAAAATGTGGTGCAGATTGTTTTAAATAGAAAAAGTAAGATTATAGTGAATGTCGAACGCGTTTTCATGCCTTTTCCTTAAGGTATTATTAACTCATCTGGTACTTTTAATTTTTAACACTGTATGTAAATACTACATGACAAAGTGCTAACGTTGTGAAAGTCGCTAAGCAGCAAAGGATCTGTGAAGTGATTGGTCTTATTGTGTGCTACATGTATGTGTCTGTGGGAGATGCGAGGCGCAGCACAAGATGAAAGAGACTGAACAAAAACAGTTTGAGTCGATTTTCCTCCGGCTCGTTTTCTGTCCACGTTGTCCTTTAAAGAATGGAGGGTGGGTGTGTGTCGGACTTGAGCTCTTTGCCTTTTCTCTCTCTCTGTGGGTGGTCTATCCTGACTGTCAGTGTCTTTAAAATGCAAGTTGCAATATTAAATTAATCTGAAAATGCTCTCYTCTGTGGTCTCAGTTCATTATACTGTCAAAGACCAAGTAAAATAAAAAAAACTTTAGACTACAACATTCTCCGTTCAAGATTTCTGTAGAATAAAAACATTTCCTTCAGATATTGTTTTGATTACTGTAGCAGCAATCTGTGTCAATGTGTTTTTTCTAGTTTCATCTCTATGCATACAAAGGAAAAGCCCAAAAGAGTGGTCAAAAATGTCTTWTTTGATCAACTGAATAAAATATTTTATTTTTTATTTCCCTAAAATAAGAACAAGAAGATGGCTTTTAGTAAAATGCATTTGAGTTCATGACATATTTGCAACCAAAAGCCTTATTTTTATCTGCTAATCCTTCACATTTCATCTTCCAAACCCACACTTCATATCCTCCTTACTGCTCTTTATKACTACAAAGTTACAAAGAAATCCAACATCACAGAAAACACTGCTGCTGTTTGAAATGCCTCATTTGTAGTCCAACCCTTCCATTCACACTGCATCTAAATTACAGTGCAAAACATTTGGATAATGCCTGCCAAGTGGCGAGTTTAACTTAACACCTCAATCAAGAACAAGCAGATGTTGCTCTCTACCYTTTTTTGCTAATTAAAAAAACTATTAGCTTTAAAAACAAGGTTGACTGACGTAACTTACAAGCATTAAATTACAGATTTTTTTTTTGGTATTCAGTGATTCAAAATATTAAATTGACCCTGTCACACTAACATTTTAGACAACTTATGTACATTTTGTCCTGTCCTGGAAAAATAACTTACTYTCTAAAGTCCCACATTCTTCTCAGWYCAAGAGTCAGTGACCTCTTTTCATCATGTTTTATGATTCCTCTCTTTATCCTCTGTTTGCTCTCAGATAGTGTTWAACAACCAGRACAATATCTGTTAGAAGTAATCATTCTTGCTGCTAGTTTGATCAAATATCGTGCTTTCCTTGACCAAGCATCGGTACCAGGAGAGGTGGTGTTTTTGATAACATGCTGTATAAATAAATGTAYTTGAGACTGCCTCATTGCACACATTTTGTCCCACTGCCCTGTGTGACATGATGTGTGTCTGCAATTGCAATAAATCCTGATTGACCATTCACGGAGTACTTTTTATTCTTGGACCACGTCTTTCTGTTTTGGGGAAATACCGATTTCCATGACAGTCCAACACTAAATATGTCTTCATTGAAGATGTAAAAACAAAATCTACTGGAAGCCTCTTTTGGATGTATTATGGTAAGAATAAGAATAAACATATAACTTRAACGAGTAATTTAGTCAAAGTTTTCATAGCAGTAGCCAGGGCTATTCAAGTAAATTGCTCCTGGGGCCACAGTTGGACCAACAGCACAGGGGCCAAACATCCAGCAATTAAAGTCGTTGTATAAATAAACTAAAATTACAAAGATCTGTTACCTTTGACATAGTTTATTTTGCTGCATTCATGAATATAATACAGAAGCCTAGGTAATGAATGTAATGACAACACAACAATATTGAAAACAACACATTATTGCCACCTATTTAACACAAATATTTTGACATCTCTAGGGTGAGAAGCTCGGTCATCTGGGAGGCCGCTGCTCCTCCACGTCGAGAGGAGCCAGTTGAGGTGGCTCGATTATCTGGTTAGGATGCCTCCTGGACGCCTCCCTGGTGAGGTGTTCCGGGCACGTCCCACTGGGAGGGGGCCCAGAGGAAGACCCAGGACACGCTGGAGGGACTAGGTTTCTCGGCTGGCCTGGGAACGCCTTGGAGTTCCCCCGGATGAGCTGGCCCAAGTGGCTGGAGAGAGGGAGGTCTGGGTCTCTCTGCTTAAACTGCTGCCCCCGCAACCCAACCCCAGATAAGCAGAAGAAAATGGACGAACATCTCTGATTTGCCAAATGTTTAAAAAAAACAATTTTATTTTCACTTTCATCATTTTATCTTCAACTGCTTGTAGTTTTAACTGTCTTGGATGTTCATAGAAATGTTTTTTACCAGCTTCTGATCAAGATTCAGACGTTTCTGTAGATACCTCACATGTCTGTGTCAAACTAAAAGAACTTATRATTAAAGTAGAAAACCGGGGGTTTGGGTTTAAGAGATGAATGAACCAATTGGCGGGCCGAACTTTGGTCACTCACGGGCCAGATGTGGCCTGTGGGCTGCCAGTTGAATGGCCCTGGCATAAGTTCTCTAAACCCTCAAAATGTGACAGAGTCTTTACAGATTCTAGGATTCCTTATTCTACTTCTCTCATCACCATTATACTGTAAAGTTGAGAAGTACTTTATTTATTTCACTAAAAAAGCAAAATGTTTTATAATAATTAAAAAAGACAATCTGAATGAAAAGGGTGCAGATTGAAGGAAAAAAATCTAAAATCTGCACCTTATTTAAACAAGAATAAACTTACAACAGAGTTCAGCTTAAACAATTTACAAATTTACAAAAGAAAAAATCWGATGTGTTTTATATCATTTCCAGTAAACATTACATGGAATCATATYATCCCAATAACTTTGACTTAACCTCCTTTTTGAACATATAGAGTGTTTTGGATGTTTTTATGTATTAATATCTATACAGTTCAATAAACATGTTCCCTGAACTGTAATACATCAATCCTTCGGACTTGTTCTAAATGGAGAATTAACAAAAATCTTGTCCACTGAAGTTATAGTGACTCTCTSTTTTAACAACTTTTTACTGAATATTTAACGGTAATGTTTCATGAGCCACATCCATAACTTGCAAAATACTATAATCAACCAGACAATAAAATTTCAACAATTTAAACTGATGAAATAATGTTTGTTGGATGACCAAAATGTTTTCTGCTAGCAATTCTTACAGCTCTTTTCTGTAAAATAAAAATAGTATTTGTAATAGTTTTGCAGGCTTTTCCCCCAAACTTCAAGACAATGTGATAAATGTGGTATAATCACCGAATTATTATATAGTGTATACAATGTTTTATCATTTACTTGAGAACAATAAGAGTCAAACACTAAATAATACAAAATAAAAACTTGCAGTGGGGATGGCTGAAAACCCCAAGGCCCTGTGTTAAAGAAAACAAAATAAAATCCCACAAAGGACCATAATAGAGATGTGATTAAAAAAGAATGATGTCAGCAGGGGGCAGTGCATTTCAATCTATATGTAAATGAGCAAGTTTTAGGATAACAGTCAATATTCAGTCACTAATAAAATGCCAGTTTCTCTTATGTCACTGAGTGGACAAAGGAAACCTGCAGTGCTGC